GCAAGGGTTTAGAAACCATTGTTAGGTGTGCTCTCCGTGCGCACGTCACTCGATATAGGTTGATTCGCCCGGCCCAGCACGGCTTTCTCAAAAAGGGGTCGTGTTTGAGCAACTTGTTTTGCTTCTCGGACGAAGTTCCAAGGAGGTTAGATGGAGATCAGAAAGTCGAAGTGTGCCACCTGGACTTCAGGAAAGCTTTCAACTCGGTAAATCACCGGCTCCTTCTAATAAAGCTCAGGGGATTTGGTCTACCAACAGCTCAAATTAGATGGATAGAAACTTTTCTCACCAACTGGGTCCAACGTTGGCAGCGTATCCAGTGGAGTACCTCAGAGCTCAGTGCTAGGCTCGGTGCTCTTTCTGCTGTTTATAAATGCCTTGGTTCAGGAACTAGCGGTTCTTGCCTTCATATTTGCCGACGACGTGAAACTAGTGAACTCAGGATCTGTAGAGCAACTAGAAGCTCATATGGCTAAGATTATCCGGTGGGCACAGAAGTGGAACTTGGAGCTAAACGCTACCAAGTGTTATATTCTAAATGCTGCAGGGCTTCCGGTTCCGGTGGCTACGACCACGGAACCGACGGTTTTCGCTTGAGTAGACCGAATGCTGGATCTGAGAATTTTGGTCTACGAGGACTTTAAGCCCAGTGATCAATGCCTGGCCGCCGCACAAAAAACAAGGGGGCAACTGTTCCAGCCTAAGATGGCCCTGTCGTCAAGGAAGGCTGAGGTTTTCGTACCTCTATATAAGGCCATAGTTAGACCGCAGTTAGAATACTGCTTGCAGGCTTGGGCGCCTTACTTGAGGAAAGATATCAATTGCATTGAGAGAGTGTAACGTTTAGCCACTAGGATGATCGCGGGAATGAAGGGTAAATCATATACGGAGGTGTTAGAATCCCTAGGGCTTTTCTCCATGGAGTGGAAACGCCTGAGAGGCGACATCGTTGAAACCTTCAAAATAATGAAGGGGCCGACTGGGCTAGAGGCGGACAGCCTGTTTACTCGAGCACCACTTGAGTCAATAAGGGGCATCATTTGAAGCTGATGAAGCCCAGGAGCCGACTCAACCTTAGGTACAACTTCTCCACGACTAGAGTGATAGACGAGTGGAATCAACTACCATCTGCACTGCTGGACTGTAGGACAGTTGATGAGTTCAAAAGGCAACTAGACGGGGTCTGGATCAGCCTCTATCCTGAGATTTTGTAGGGTGCCTACTATTGACAGTAGGTGTTCGATGCTGCCTATTTTCGAATAACCTCCCTTTACAGATACGGACCCGATAAGGAAGGCTGTTGCGGAAGAAGAAATTGGCTGTAATCAAACAGTCGACAAGAAGTCGAAGCTCCTGAAGAACGTGGTTTCGGCTGGAGCAAGGATCTGGACGGCCGGTTGGCGAAAGCCTTTACCGACCTGTGCAATCTGACCTGACCCTCACCTCTGATCGAAGCTTTCCCCCAAATCCAACATTCTAGTCAAAATTTAGTGAGCGTCAAAGATAGGTTTTCATTCACTTTTAAACCAGGTTTATTTGTGAGTAGTTTCATACGAGATCATTGTAACCCACAGGTGTAACGGTGTAAGAATCAAATGTTTTCAGTTTCCGCTTATACAACCATTAACCATGAACTATCGTGCGCCGGTTTGGTTG